GTAGAGTGCATATGTTGCAAAGGGGCCTAGGGCATCCCCAGATGCACATGGAGGCTATGGCAGTTCATTGGGGTCTGCAGAGATCATGTAACACCACAGCAGAGGAAGGAGGGCAGAACAAATTGGTCAACTAACCCATCCAAGCGTTGGCAGCAAATACCTACAAATGCAGACTGTCAGCCTATGGACCTTGAAAAGATTTTCTCATCCTGGGATTGGTGAGATAACAGCATTTTAGAACTATCAAAATCACCTGAGAAGAGCCCTCAAAGCACATTCCACATCGGGGACCCTGGGATGACACTGGTGGCCATTCCTCATCCTCTGGGAACGTTAGGATGCTGGGTGTGGCTTCCCCTTCTCTCCTCCTTTCCCCAGATACAGGAAGAAAAGGAAACTTGGAAACAATGGTCTTACCCACTTTCCGCTAATTCTCAAACCTTCCCATCCTAATCAGTGCTCCATATGGGGATGCACCCTTCTCAACCATGTAAACATTATCAAAAATAATCTTTTTTAAAAAAGAAAAATAGTTTTATCCTCAGGTAGAATAAAACAGTAGGTGGGGTGTTTGCTACAGATTAAGACACTGTTTGGGGTGCCCACATCCCATATTGGGGTACCTCTCCTCCACTTCTGGTTCAACATTCTGTAAATACTCACCCTCTGTGGCAGCAGATCATGGTGCAAGTCCTTGGGCCCCTGCCACCCACAGGGGGGACCCAGATGGAATTCCTGGCTCCTGGCTTCAGCAGCATCCCACCCTGGCTGTTGCAGCTATTTGGGGCATTAAGCAGCAGATGGAAGCTCTCTCTGCCTTTCAAATCAGATAAAAATAACAACTTTAAAAAAGGAAAAAAAAAATAGGACAAAACTGAAAGCTTAAGCAAATTTATACAGAAAGTTTGAACAAGTTGTGAAGGGCTGGAGGACACTGCAAGATGATGGTCATCAGAGGAAGTTTGGGGACGGGGCACTCAGCCTGGCAGTTCAGTCACTGGCTGACATCCCCCAGCAGAGCTCCATCTGCCCCTGGGGGAGAGCTGCACTGAGCTGCTGCCCTTCGGCTTTGTCCCAGCCTGGCCCCAGACACAGCAGGCATTTTGGGAGTTGTCAGTAGACAATCTCTCTCAGCTTTATTTATTTATTTTTACATTTTTATTATTTTGATTTGTTAGCTTTATTTAAAAAAAAAAAAAGATTTATTTTCATTGGAAAGGCAGATTTTCAGAGAGGAGAGAAAGATCTTCTGTCCATTGGTTCATTCTCCACATGGCCAGAATGGCTGGAGCTGAGCTGATCAGAAGCCAGGAGGCAGAAGTTTCTTTTGAGTCTCCCAAGCAGGAGCAGGGTCCCAAGGCTTTGGGCCATTCTCTACTTTCCCAGGACATAAATGGGGAGCTGGATGAGAACTGGAGGAGCTGGGATATGAACTGGCACCCATACGGGATCCTGACACAAACAAGGCAGGATTTATCCTATAGGTCATCGCACCGGGCCCTTTCTAAGGTTTTAAGAAAATGGGCTGGCCCAGTCGCTCAACAGGTGAATCCTCCACCTACAAATGCCAGCACCTCATCTGCCACACACACCCCTACCACCCCGACTCTCGTTGTTCTGGCTGCTTCACTTCCCATCCAACTCTGCTTTTGGTCTGGAAGCAGAGAATGGTTCAGATTCTTGGGACCCTGCACCCACTTGAGGCCTGGAAAAAGCTCCTAGCTCCTGGCTCCTGGCTCAGATGGACTCAGCTGGCTTCAGATGGACTCAGCTCTGGCTGTTGCAACCCTTTGGGGAATGAATAAGCAGTTGGAAAATCTCTGTAATCTACTCTCCCAGTGCCTGAACATATTCCAGTACCCTCTGTTTCATCAGACTCAACTTCAAGGTTAATTGAACAGGTCTCTCAGGAGGACAAGCAAATCGCATTGCATGGGTATTTCTTTACCTTTTGGCAAATCGCAGAAAGAGAAATATACCTTTCATTTGTTTGTGAGTTTACTCGCCAAATGTCTGCAACTTCTGGAGCTGTATCAGGCTCAGCCTGGGAGCCAGGAGCTCAGTCTGGATCTCCCACTCCAGTGGCAGGGGACCAACCACCTGAGCCAGCATCTGATTCCTCCTGAGTGTACATTGGTAGGAAGCTGGACAGGAGGCAGGACAGCCAGGACGCAGGTCAGGCACACCAAAGTGGGATGTGACTATTCCAGGCAGAGACTTAATCATGATACCAAACAGCTGGCCACAAGTACCTCTGAATCCATGCTTTTGATAACTTTAAGGGCAATGGACTAAGTAAATAGAAATTTAATGACCGCCCCCCCCAAAAAGCACTCAAATGAGCTGATCACTTTGATGGGGTTTTTATGATCAGTATTTCAAGTGTTGCTGGGTCTTTCAATACTTTTTGTGGATTTTAGGAAATGCTTTCCCTCAACTTATCACTGGTTCACAGCAATCTGGCATAGGATACTTCCGTGAACAAAGGTGGGTGCATCACTTTTTCTGCTAATGTAATCCCTCCAAAATTCAAACCCATTTACAACCATTTTCATCAGTTCACTAATATGTTGTTCCTTGCCACAGAACACAATTAAAAATACAGTTTAGGGACTGGTGTGGTGGTCTAGCGGCTAAAGTCCTCACCTGCTACATGCCAGGATCCCATAGGGGCTCTAATCCCGGCAGCTCCGCTTCTCATCCAGCTCCCTGCTTACAACCTGGGAAAGTAGCTGAGGATGGTCCAAGGCCTTGGGCCCCTGCATTCACAATACCCATTAGAGGTTACAACTTCAGATCACCCCAGTTCCGGCCATGTGGCCACTTGGGAATGAACCAGCAGATGGAAGTTCTGTGTTCATGTCTTCTCGTAACTCTGGCTTTCAAGTAAAATCTTTTTTTTTTTTTTAAGTAAAATAAATCTTAAACATGTAACAGTAACAGCAAACATTTTTTTAAAATGTTGCATCTATAGGAGGGGGTGTGTATGTGTCTGCCAGCTTTCCATCTGCCGATTCTCTCCCGCAAAGCCCACAGTAGACAGGGTCAGGCCAGACCCGGGAGATGGGAACTCCACCCAGAGCTCTCATAGCGAGGCCCAAGCCCTTGAGGCAATATATACTGTCTGCCATAATATTAATAGGAAGCCTGATCAGAAGTATGGTAGCCAGTACTCAAATCAGGTTCTCTGATGTGGGGTGTGGGCATCCAAGCAGTGGCTTAACTTGCTGTGTCACAGATTTATCATTGATTTGAAAGGCCAAGAGGGAGGGAGAAACTGGCATTGAGAGATCTTTCATCCACTGGCTTACTCCCCATACAGCTCCAACAGGCAGGGCTGGTCTAGGCCAAAGCCTGGAGGTTGGCACTCCATCCAGGGTGACAGGGGTTCAAGTATGTGAGCCACCTTCCATTGCTTTCTCAGGAGCATTAGCAGTGAGCTGGATCAGAAGCTGAGCAGTTGAGACTGGAGTCAACACACATATGGTTTCATTGCTTAATTTTTAATTGCAACCCTGTCTTCTTGGTCAATTCAGGTTCTTATCTTCTTTCCAAACTCATTCCAAACTTAGTTCCTGGAGGAAAATCCTGATTTTAAATCCCTTATTTCCTAGATCTCTGCTTTGCTCTTGCATTCTCATTCCATTCACATGGGTCAACCTTGTATTTGCTATACCTACATATGCTAGAATTCCATTAATTTTTAAAAAGACTTTATTTTTATTGGGAAAGATTTACAAAGCCAAAATAAAGGAACAAAGATCTTCTATCTACTGAGCTGATCTGAAGCCAGGAACCAGGAGCTTCTTCTGGGTCTCACACATGGGTGCAGGGTCCCAAGGCTTTGAACCCTTCTCTGCTGTTTTCCCAGGCCATGAACAGGGAGCTAGATGGAATGTGGAACAGCTGGGACATGAACCAGCGCTCACATGCAGTGCTGGTGCATGCTACAGGGGGATTAGTGAGTTGAACCATCGGCCCAGCACCTGTTATTTCACTCTTTCACCAGACCAGAAGCCACTCTTCACCTGGCACACCAGAATAGGGTGGAAAGGGCTGAGAATGGTGGTACCTACCAGCCTCATCACTCCCGTTCCCAGTCCTGCCTGGGGTCCTTCCCAGCTTCACGAAGAGCACCACTGCCGGGGTTCCTGACAGTCAGAAAGCTCTGCAGCTGACGGACCAGTCACGATGCCTCTGTGGCCCTCTGCTGACACTGCCTACAAGATCTAGGAAAACAAAGGATACCTTCACATAAAGGACAGAATGACCATTCCTTGCCTCCCGGGTCTTCAGCCCACATAGCCAGGAATGCAGCTAAGCCTTAGCTACTGCTCCTGAAGACGACGACCACAAACTTCTGCCTGAGTAACCACTTCCAACACCACGCATGTTATTCACCGAGTTTGGGGACAGAGTGCGAGGACATTCTGTGCATTGCCAGATCAATCAAGTAAGCAATGCTTTTACCATGAGTGTCACCTGAGTGGTAATTCCTTCAGAGAACCCTTCAGCATATGAAGTATCTGCATTGAGGTATAAGACATGTTCTCCACGTCTGTTAGACAGTTTTTACATGAAGTAGAAACCTCTAGAAAAAATAATTCTCAGAAACATTAAAATACGGTCATCCTTGGTGTCTGGAGACAATTAGGTCCCGAAGCACATGGATACTCAGATCCATAGATGCTCAAGTATTTGGCACAGTATTTACACACAAACTATGCAATCCTCCCATATACTTTTGCTTACTTACTCCACCTAATAAAACACAAATATTATGTAAGTCATCCTTTCACTGTATTGTTTAGGAAATAATCGCCAAAGAAAGTCTGAACAGATCTAGCATGCATACGACACCAACAATTGGATCTGGAGTTGGCTGTTGGATGCAGAACCCACAGCTCTACAGGGCTGATCAGAGGTGTTCTGAGGTCCTTGATAGGTTTAAATCTAGAAATTCATATTACACTTCTCACGTCAGGAAACTGGCACAGTTCAATTCATGCAGTCTTTATTACAAGGAAATACAGGAAAATGTGCAATCATCTGTCAAAATGTTACCAGGGATTCAAAAGGTATTTATATAAAAAAGCCTCACTTCACAGTCTGAATTGTGTACAGAGCAGTGCTCACAGAAGGCGGCAGACAGGAAATGCATGATAGCGGCCCTCCTCCCGGCAGGCCCGAGGAAGACCCCTCTCTCAGGTCAGTGATTTTGAGGGTGCCACCTTTCAATAATTACAACACATTCCTAGGCCTAGGGAGGCCACAGTGTCTGGTAAGAGGAACCTTGGTGCCCATGACTCCAGAAAAACGGCACTGACATTCAAGAAAGGGCTTCATTTCAGCACCAGAGTACTTCTGTGCTTGGAGTGAAAATTATCTATTTATTTATTTAAAAGGCAGAGAAGACTCAGAAAGCTCTCTCATCTGCTGGCTGACTCCCTAGGTGTCCATCACGGCCAGGCGTGCTGAAGCCAGGCACCGCATCCAGGCCTCCCCCGTGGGTAGCAGCAACCCAGGAGTCTCAGCCGGCACTGCTGCCCCCCCCCCCCCCCCCAGTGTGTACACTGACAGGAGGCTGGAGTCAGGAGCAGAACCAGGAGTTGAACTCAGGCACTCAGACATGGGACGCAGGCATCCTAACCTGCCGAACAGCCATTGTGTGGCACTTGTCCACACAATCAGCTTTCCTTGGCCAATCTGAGCTCTTTGCTAAGGGAGAGGGAAGTTCAGACGCTGACTTGTGGCCAATACCTCATCCTTAGCCGGAGAACTTGTTGGTCTGGTCAGCAGCTTCAACAAGCACGGGCAAGAGCTGGAACCTGCATTTTAACCTGTGTCAGGAATTTAAAGGGGTGGGATCACAAGGATCACTTCTAGGCTTAAACTTATGATATGATACTATGTGCATCCCAAGAGCAAAACCAAACAATTTCCAAGTCTTTTCCCCAACTCAGCAGTCGGAACACTGGTGAGGACAGAGGGTCAGACAGTTTTACAGGGACTACGCAAAGCAAATGCTGAGGAAAGGGAGTGAGTGCTTCTCTGAAGGGACTGACTGTGGAGGCAATCAAGTCCTTGGTACCGTAATCGTCACAGTGATGACTGACAAATGCCCAAAGCTGTCATAAATCAGAAGCAGGTTTTGGCCTAGTGGTTAGGTGGCTCACATCCCACCTCCAACAGCCTGGGTTCAACTCCTGGCTCTGGCCTCTTTCTCCAGCTTCCTGCCAGTGCTGGGAGGCAGCAAGTGATGGCTCACGTAATTGGGACCCCACCACTCACGTGAGACCTGGTTTGGGTTTCTGGCAATTTGCTCCAGCCCCAGCCAGCTCCAACCATTGTGGCTATTTGGAAAGTGAGCCAGCAGATGGGAGCCCTGTCTCTCAAATACATTTTTTTTTAATGAAAAAAAAAAAAAACAAAACCATATACCAGAAAACCAGAGACACCCTGCGTTGTGTTTCTATGGGTGTATCTTACTTATCTCTGTGGCCCTGGAGTGCAGCACTATGCCAAACACATGGAAGACAGCAGGAACATCCTCTCAGAGTAGTATCTGAGTTCTTTGGTGTCCATGGTTGGATCAAGAATCGTGAAGTCAGCAAAGCCCGGCTCTGAGGGGCACAAGCAGGAAGCCCGTTAGAAGCCTGGTTGTGGAAGACATGTCATCTGAGGCCAAGTAAAACTCAAGACTGAACATGGTAATTTTTACAGAAAAGAGGGTGTGTGTGTGTGTGTTTAATCAGAGACTATAAAAGATGGCATTTTGGGAGTATAAAAGTAAAAACACTGTTTTCATTTCTTCTGCAATGAAATCAACCAATAGCTTGCTTCAATGTCTTCTCCAAGGCTCCTCAGAAAACTTCTCTATACTTGAGAAATGTCATCATTTAGTGAGAACCATGACCCAGGGATCACGTACTAATCCAGTGCGAAGCAAAAACAGGAAGGTGAACACTTCCTCTCTGGAAAAATCCCACGTTTTCCAAGTAATGATTTTATTCCTGTGGATGCTGCAGCAACCTTCTGTACAAAAGGACTTCAAAAACTTCATGGAAGTTATGTGTCCCCAATCTTTGAAGTGCATGCATGGTACCCAATCCCACGAACACGCTGAAGCTCCTGCAGCTGCCCTTGATTCTGTAGGCCTGTCTGTCCCAGACGCTAGGCAGCTGCTCCACTATCACCTCCCATCTTCTCATGAGGCAGGTGGGCTAAGCTGCTCAGTCTTTATCTGGGGTCGTTCCTGGCCCTGTGGTCAGTGACACTCCAGTGACACTGTTCTTCACGGTGGATGGACGGATGGACGGCAGCTTGATATTTCAGAATATCTGAAGCCTTCTGAAGAGTGGAGAAGAAAGATGGATTCTGGATATATTGTCTCAAAGTGGGACTTGCATGCGGTACAAAGTTGCAGTGAGAATTACACCATCTTAGACACAGGCCAGTAACACACACAGACACACATCATCACATGCCCTCTTCTAGGGGAAGTGTCATGAGTGACACAAGCCTTGAGTATATCCATACTCTGGGGCTCCTTTGGGAATGCACAACAAACCAGAGCTCAGGTGGTTTCTTGAAGCTGGCCTTTCTAGAGGAATCATCCATGAGAAAGGGCTCCAGAAAAAGGGAACCGAGAGGACAGAACCCACCGCCGCTCCAAGCCCCATTCCTCCTTAGTGGTGCTGGTTTTTCTGGTTCTCCCTAACTGTCCCACCTAGGCCACAGGTGTGTATACTGAGGCCAGTACTGACCCTGTTCCTAGAGCCCATTTCTTATAAAAGGTCCTGTGACAGAAAGCCAAGCTGAACCCCACAGAGAACCCTCACCAGGATCACACAACAGGCTAGGCAAGGAAAAGCAACAAAGGCAGTCTGGGTTGTCTGAGGTAAAAGCTGCACATCACACTGTAACCTCAGACTAGAGGTCGTGAGGCACCCACCCGGAGGCTCTCAGCCACCCCCGGCCATTAGCTCACCTTCTTACCTCGGCTGCGGCCTCCTGACGCAGGGTATCCCACACCTTCTCCCTATCTTGTTTTGTAGCGATATAACTGACTCATAAATGAATACACCACCAGCTACTGGCACTTAGATAAAATTCTGCTCTAAAGTAGTTAAGAAAGAAAGAAAAAACTGGAACAGAAAGTGCTTTACCAGCCATTTTACTCTTCTTTAATTCTACTGTCTTTGAGCACACATCTCTGCCATTGAGGAGGTTGTGACAGCAAGGCTGATGGCACAGACTCCTGAACACAATGAGTAGAATCCTCTACTGGTGGGTCACCTACCTTATTCTCTGTCAAAGGAAAATGCCTGGGGGCCATGGGGAGGGAAGGAGCAAGGGGGAAAAGACAGAGATGGGGCCGCATCCGGGAGACTGGACTTAGAAGTCTAAGCAACTTGAATTTGTTAGAAAATTCCGATTTTACTTAGGGTTGATGGGCAACTGTTGAACACCACTTGCCTTATTTCCACAAACTACTAACTCTGTGGAATCTGAGGTTACACAGTTGGACAACCTCACATCAGCTGAGAACAAAGAAATGGCAACCAAGGATGGTGGTGGCTTCAAAACAAGTCTTGGTTAAAAATGGTAAGTCAGTAGCAAAAAATGCCTCCAAGTGAAAGCCAGAGTTCCTGTCCACTTCCTGTCTGGCCGCTGATGCCTGCTCTCCTCAGTAGGTCAGTACACACTCAGTGGGTTGATGTTCTGCATGTAGTTTCAGGTGAGAAGCTCTGGTTTAAATCCCCTTCCTTGGGCCTCTCAGTAACGGGAGTCCTGAGAGTGCGCAGTGCTGGTAACCCCTCAGGCTCAAGGGCCGCGCTGCTCAGGGAGCACGACAACTTCCTGGCTCACCCGTTCTTTTCTCCCAAACCCAGGAGTTTTCACAACACGGGACACAGTCCATTGTAATGGAGTTCAGAACCGTTTTCTGTTGCCACCTCCTTCCAACGTCCGATAGTGCAGGCGGCCAGGTAAGCTTGGAAGGAAGTTGCAAAAGTTCAGCCAGGAATCTTGACTTGGTTAGGTGTGGACATGGGAGACTTGCCATTGTCCTGTCCAGAATTTATTGTAAGTCAAGCAGAGATATCCATTTGGGATTCGAGTTGAGTGTGTGCTAGATATAAAATTGATGGAATGCTAACTGGTCCATGAAGGGCTGCACAAGGTAATCAGTGGCAAAGTAGAAAACAAGCCCAAACGTGATCGAGATGGGAAGGGCTGGCAACGCCTTCTTGAAAATGGCGAGTAGTAGTAATGTAAGGCACAAACCCTGCAGGGAGACAGGAAGACACAAACTCACGTGACCACCAAGCATCTCTGGGCAAAGATTCAATCTCAAGTCTTGGTTTTAACTCAGTTGGTGGAATATTTTCCTTTCAGGTTAAACTATAAACATCACATGAAAAAAGAGGAAACATTAATTTTCCTTTGGTAGACAGAGTCCACTATGCACTATGATAAGAATACAATCTGCAGGAAGCAATTTCTGGAAAAAAAAATGAAATACTGAAATTTCCATCTAAAATAGTAAGTTGGTCTCTGTGATTTTTAGTTTAGCTGATTAAAAATTCAGAGGTGCTAAGCATTGTTTGTGCTGTTTGGAAAGGAGAAGCTCATGGGATGAAGTGATGAAAAGTCAGCTTATAAAGTGTGGCTTGCTTGGAACCCAAAGCAGCCCTGTAACATGGCTCCACTTACTGAGGTGCTAATCTGAAGTCTGCAGCCTGGGCACCATGCCAGCTTACTGGGAGCATAAGCTAAACTTATCTAACCTCTCACCTAACTCCACTTACACATTCTACGTCACAGACATTACATTTTCCCTAACACTGTTTTAGGGATTCTTCCACAGAAATCACAGACTGGAAGCATCAGGACTCACACGGCAAGCACTGTGTCCACAAGTGACGCAAGAGGCAGGTACTGCGTGAGCTCTCACGTGAAACTGGCTGCCCAGATTAACACCATGTGCCACCAAGCTGGGGGCTAGGTGAGGTCTGCCAGCTCTCTCAGAATGGGCACAGCGACACAAACACATGAGTGTGGTGGAGACTTGTGTTTGGGCCCTGAGAGGTCCCCAGTAAGAGGGATTTAGGAGGACTTCCTGAAGAATTTCATGAACTAGACTGCTAAAGCTTAGTAAGCTCTCAGGGCACAGTGCCAGGCTTTAGGAGCTGCCAGGCTACTAGCCACGTGGCCGGAGTGCAGAAACGCTCAGGTGAAGTCGCAGGAGCTGAATTCTGGAAAAGCTGTCCTGGGGGCCAGGAGAGCTGCCTGTTTGAACCCCTGGGGTCCTGTTATCATTTATGGGTGTATACTTACAATTAATATGGCTACAAAACAGGCTATGGTTGTGTTCCAGTCACCGCTGGCTGTTGCTGAGGCTTTACCAACCAAAACACTGTAGAAAATGAAATCTCCTAGTCCAAGCTTTACTCCCCCTAAAAAGCAAAGAAGATGAATATGATAAAGCTTGTCATTCCACAGCAGTCTCACAGTTCAACATCAACACTACCACACTCTGCCCCTACCAATGAGAAGCCAGCAAATGATACACAGACCCACGCTTTCAGGAGCTTGCCTTTTTGGTTTTCTGCAGTGGAAATTTCAGACTTAAACGACACACAGCCTTAACACATGCTGTTTTACAAATAATGATAAAAGAAGTAACTGCCCTCCTTTGAGAATACCTAGTTCACACCCAGCATCTGTACCAGTAACTTCTCAAAAGATTCCATGCAAGCATAATCTTGAAAAAATATATTTCCACAAAGCTTGGCACCAGAACCAGGAGCTGGAAACTCAGCTGAGGTCTCTGACATGGATGACAGAAACCCAGCTACCTGAGCCATTACCCCTACCTCCATGGCCTGCATTAGCAGGAAGCTGGAGTCAGGAGCCAGATGTGGGATCAGAACCCATGCACTCCAAAGTGGGACAAAACAGGACTTTAGCCGCTCAGCTACCACGCCAGGCCTGAAAATAAATTGTTGAAAAGTAAAAATAAAGGGCCCAGCATGGTAGCCTAGTGGCTAAAGTCCTGGCCTTGCACACCCTGGGATCCCATAGGGACACCAGGTTCTTGTCCCAGCAGCTGCACTTTCCATCCAGTTCTCTGCTTGTGCCCTGGGAAAGCAGTCAAGGACAGCCCAAAGCCTTAGGACCCTGCACCACGTGGGAGACCCAGAAGAGGCTCCTGGTTCCTGGTTTGGGATTAGCTCAGCTATGGTTGTTGCGGCTGCTTGGGGAGTAAAATCAGCAGATGGAAGATCTTTCTCTCTGGTCTCTTCTCTGTATATCTGACTTTCTAATAAAAAAAAGAAAATTTAAAAGAGGCTTATTTTCAATTTGAAAGTCAGATTTATAGAGAGAAGAGACAGAAAGATCTTCTGTCCATTGGTTCACTTCCCACTTGGCCAAAACAGCCTGAGCTGTGCCAGTCTGAAGCCAAGAGTCTCTTCTGGGTCATCCATGCAGGCGCAGAATCCCAGGGTCTTAGTCTGCCCTCCACTGCCCTCTCAGGCCACAAGCAAGGAGCTGGAAGGGAAGGGAAGTGAAGCAGCCAGGAGATGAACTGGCACCCGTATGGGATTCCTGGACATATAAGGAAAGGACCCCAGCCACTAAGTGATCTCACTATAATTACATCCGAATGTTATGCTGAAAAATTATTTACCCAATCCAAGATCATGTCTTTCTTCCGTGCTTTTTTATAGAAATTTTGTAATTTTATCATTTCCATTTGGTTTTATAGTGCATTGTGAGTTACTTTTTGATGGTGTGTATGATTGATGGGTGAAGTACCAGTCTCAGCTCATTCTTGTTCATTTGTATAGCTAGCTGTCCCAACATTATATGATGAAAAAATATCCTATTATTTTCCCATCATATTATTTAAGCATTTCTGTGAAAAGACAAATCCCTGATGCTTGTGTTCCCTGGAATTGTGTTTATCCTGCTAACACTATGCTGTCTGGATTATTATGGAGTCAGAGAATGCTCTGAGGTCAGGCAGTGCAGGTGCACCTACTATTTAAGGCCTTCGAAGTCCTCTGTATTTCCAAGCAAATTTTAGGATCCATTTGTAAAACACGAGCTGACTGGTCCTACAGCTTATATTGAAATACAAACCCTTAAGTTTTGCTTTATCAAATATTTTTCATCTTCTAATTTCTTTTAATAAAGACAAAATACATATTCAAAAAATACTCTGTGTCTTGGTGCTTGAGATGAATCTACCAAATTCATGTTTCTACCTTTCTAGCTGTTGAGTAACTATCTCTCACTGAGGCTTGGCTCTACAAGAGAGAAGATGCTTCTAGGAAGCAGCTCCTGAGGGCTCCGAGCAGCACAGGCTGCTCCTCATGTGGGCAGGAAAGAAGCCGAGTACTGCTTCATGAGATCCTATGGAGAAACCAGACCCGAGGCTGGGCTTCCTCAGTGCAAAAAGATAAACACAGGATCCATGAAATCCAAGGCTACAAATTACAGGCTCAGCTGCCCTGCAATGCTGACTTTTCCAGACTGATGAGTACATGCAGCAGCCGCAGGTGTGCAGAAACCAGGCCTACTATTCAAGTAAGTGCTTGTAAGATCCAATGTAAGTTGCTGAACTTCTTCAATTCTCAACTCTTTAGGTAGAAGATAGGATTACAAAGTTACTTCACAGGTTATTATCTGAGTTAAAAACAGTACAGGGCCCGGCGGCGTGGCCTAGCAGCTAAAGTCCTCGCCTTGAACGCGCCGGGATCCCATATGGGCACCGGTTCTAATCCTGGCAGCTCCCTGCCAGGATTAATCCATCCAGCTCCCTGCTTGTGGCCTGGGAAAGCAGTTGAAGAAGGTTCAAAGCTTTGGGATCCTGCACCCATGTGGGATACCCAGAAGAAGTTCCTGGATCCTGGCTTCAGATTGGCATAGCATCGGCCATTGCGCTCACTTGGGGAGTGAATCATTGGACGGAAGATCTTCCTCTCTGTTCTCTCCTCCTCTCTGTATATCTGACTTTCCAAGAAATAAATAAATCTTAAAAAAAAAAGTACAGACAACTTTCTTATTATAGAAGTTTAACAAATGAGAGCCTCTGATTTGATTTCAAATATTAAGTATTAAATAAAAGAAGTTAAATTTTTCAGGAAAAGAAAAAGGCTACAGAATTTCAAAAACTAGTACTCAGGAGGCTATGCATTTGGTCTAGTGGCTAAGATACTACTGGGGCACCTGTATCGCACATTAGAGTGTGGGTTTAGTGCTGGGCCCCAGCTCCTGATGCCACTTTCTTGCTGCTGCAGGCCCTGAGCGTAGTAGATTGCTCTGGCAGAGGGTCCTTGCCACCCACACGGCCAGCCGGGATTGAGTTTTTCACTCTTGGCTTCAGCTGCTGCAGGCTTCTGGGAAGTAAACTTGCAGGTGGGAACTCCCTCTCTCAAATAATTAGATTTTTAAAAATTACTATAGAAAAAATAGCAAATTATTCATGCGAAAGTACTTACACCCAGAAGATATTGAGAACTATTATATCTTTAAAGATAAGTAAATCATAAGCAGAGGATGTCAATTAATAATTCGCCAAAGGAAATATACAAATGGTCAAAAAAGCACATGAATCATCAACATCATCAATCATCAAGGACATGAACATCACTGCTGTTAGATATCGCCTTACACGCACTAGAGCAAGCTATCATCACCAAGATAACAACATGTGTCAGTGAGAACTGAACTCCTCATCACTGCCTGTGGAAATGTAAGACAGTGTAGTCACTTCTTTTAAATATTCTGGGTCTCCAAAAGACTGAACAATATCCAATAAGTCTACTCTCAGATGGAATATATTTCTTTAAAAATATATGTATCTATCAGATGTAATATACAAAGAGGAACAAAAATATATGTTCACACAAAGCATGCACACAATCTTAGCAACATTATTCCTCAGAGCCCCAAATAGAAACTCAGCTGTCACTTAAGTGATAACTGGATAACAGTATTTCCATACAATGGACCATATGATTTCATAAAAAAATGATGTATTACTACATTTTACAACATAAAGAAACCCTGAAAACATTATGCTACATGAAAGAAAACAGGACAGAGAGTTATAAAGCCCATGCTTCCATTTATATGCATTCCAGAATCACACATCAATACAAAGTGGTTGCAGAGAGCTGGGGAAAGTGTTGGAGGCAGGGGGCATTAATTAGTACTGGGTTTCTTTTTAGGGTGATGAAAATGCTAAAATAGCTTGTACTGATGGTTATATAATTATGTGAAAATAATAAAAGCCTCTGAACTTCCTACTTTAAACATGGAGGGAAGGATTAGAGGGGTGACAACGAAGAAATATGAGGTTCCATTTGGAGGTAATGAAAACATTCTAAACTGTGCTGATGGCTGAACAATTTGGTGAATACACCAAAAGCATCAGTTAAATGAATGAGCTGTACAGTATGGGAATTTTTTCTCAACAGAGCTATTACAGACTAAAGATAATATATTGATTCAAGCTTAAGATTATGGTCTCTTTTTGTTTTCAAAGATTTATACTTAAATATGAGTAATATTGCAGCAAATACTATAGCCACATGAAGCATTAATTTTAATAGAGAATTATAGCAAAATTAAACAAATGTCACAGTTGTTTTCTTTATACTACTAAGGTGATGCTTTATTATTATAACTCAAAAAGACTTGAGTCAGTTTATAAAAAGAAAAATCATGATGCTTGAGAATTTTTCTTTAAACATCTCATTTTGATTTATTCCACAAAAACATGCCATAGTCCAACAATTAAAATTACAAAAATGAAATTACTGAGACTGCTCATAGTTGTATTTTACTAATTACTAGCATTAGTCTATGAGTCTACTGTTACTTTTACAATTTGTCTTGTTTGTTGATTCTGAAAAAATTTTTGCATTATTTCCACTGTAAGAGCTAGTACAGGCATTTGTTAGTAGGCCAGATTTTGCCTTTTGGATTTTAATTGTCCTTTTTCAGCTTCACCCCCTGCTCCCACACTTGCAAGTGTGTACTATGTACTAGCTCTTTTATAGCTCACTGTCATTTAGAATTCAGCTGTAACACTAATTCATTGTATTCTTGCAGAGATAGACATGTCCCGCCCAAAGAAACCAGATTTGCACATACTTTCCTCTGGGTCTTCACTGGCTAGGATGCTGCTGGAAAGCTCCTGGACAGCAGCCCGTGACTCAGGAGTAGAGCGATGAGGCCCTAGGTGGCTGTCCCTCTGGGCTTCCCACTCCTCGCTGAAGCCACCATCATCACTCCCCGGAACAGGGTCTTGGGGTGACTCTGATTCTAAATCTGGGAGAGCAAACAGACATTACAACTTGGACATCTATGATAATTTAACACCTTTAACAATATTAGATGGAAACAGTGAATACCAGACTGTCACTGAAACTGGGTTTCTTAGCTCTTCAACCACAAAGCTTGAGCAGCAGCGGTGCCTTATGATTTCTTAGCCAAGAGCCACTGCTCTGTTTGGGTTGTCATGCCTCCCCCCAAGTTTCTGGTGGTAAATCCGGATCAAACCAAGCCAAGCATGATAATCTCACCACTCCCCCCAAAGCAAGCTCTAGGCTGAGGTTGTGACTTGGCACTAGCCAATGAGTGCTGATGCAAAACCTGCAGGTAATTTTCAAGGAATGTTTTCCTTCCTTCTTTCCTGGATGCTGTCTTATCTACACATGCTGCCAGAATGCAACTGCCTAGATCATGAGGAATGTGCCTGTTTGATAAAGGGGGCAGAACAGGAAGATGCAAAGAACTTGAACCTTTGCAAACATCCAGGAACCACAACATTAATCAACCCTACCAATGTCTGCATGTCAGGACTTTGTCTTGTAATGGAATACAGTTCTCTGCTTAAGGCAACTGAGTTGGGTTTCCTGTCCTTTGGAGCCAAGGGCTTTTTTAAACGGCAGCCTCACTCCTGGCATTAGTGACCACGTTACTGCAGTAGACTGGCTGAGCAGGAGCACTCAAGAGGGGGAGATACTGGGCAGGTCAGTCATCTTGTACCTACCATCAAGGACACTGAAAACGGTGAACATTACTGTAAGTTAGGCATAATTAAACTGCACAGACAACGTTGCTAACTCTGATCTTCCCTCCTTTCTATAAAAGGACTGTATGCTCATGACAGAAAGCAGCTCACCACACATGAACACAGCTGAGCTGCTGCAGGAGCCTCACCTGCACGACTTCCCCTGGAAAGACTTAATGATTTTGAATTGCTGATTCTGTATGAGGGTACTTGCAAAAATCCACGGAAAATGAGTACCTTGAAAACTACACATGGATTGAAAAACTTTTTGTGGGAGCTGATGCCACAGCATCTACCTATGGCACTGGTAGCCTATATAGGCGCTAGTTCAAGTCCCAGCTACTCCACTTCCAATGCAGCTCTCTGCTTATGAAAGGAGCACCAGAGGAGGGCTCAAGTCCTTACACCCCTACCCCAAATTGGGAGACTCAGGTGAAGATCCTGGCTCTTAGCTTCCAAACAGCTCAGCTATGACCACTGCAGCCACCTGAGGAATAAATCAGTGGATGAAAGAACTCTGTCTCTCCCTCTCTGTAACTCTGCTTTTCCAATACAAATAAAACAAAGATTTAATATACTTTTGCTCCAAAATAAGCTAATTCTTTTTTATTTTTACTTTAAAACGTTTTTGCATGAATTTATTTATTTTGAGAGGAGGAGAAACAGAGAGGAAGATCTTCCGTCCAATGATTCACTCCCCAAGTGACCATAATGGCCGGTGCTGTGCCAATCTAAAGCCAGGATCCAGGAACTTGCTCTAAGTCTCCCACGTGGGCACAGGGTCCCAAGGCTTTGGGCTGTCCTCGACTGCTTTTTCAGGCCACAAGCAGGAGCTGGATGGGAAGTGGAGCTGCCAGGATTAGAACCGACACCCATATGGATCCCTGTGCGACCAAGGTGAGGACTTTAGCTGCTAAGGCCACTGTGTGCTGGGCCCTAAAAAAAAAATTTAAGGCAGATTTTACAGAGTGAAGAGGAAATAGAAAAGGTCTTCCATCCACTGGTTCACTCCTCAAATGGCTGCAACACCCAGAGCTGAGATGATCCAAGGCAAGGAACCAGGAGCCAGGAATTTCTTCTGAGTCTACCACAAGAGTCCAGGGTTCACAGGACTTGGGCTATCCTCTACTGCTTTACCAGGCCACAAGCAGAGAGCTGGATGGGAAGTGGAGCAGCTGGGACACAAACCACCATCCATATAGGATGCCAGCACCACAGGGTTCGTTAGAGGATTAGTTTTTGTGCCACTGTGCTGGCCAAATCCTTTTTTATTTTTTTTTTCTAGAAGGGCAGAGATACAGACAAAAGGAGAGACAGAGAAAGCCTCCATCTGCTGATTCACTTCCTAAATGGCCACAACGGTTGGAGGTAGTCTGTTGTGAGGTCAGGAGCTTCCTCTGGCTCAAGTGTATGAAGGGGCCCAACCACTTGAGCCACATTCTGTTGCTCTTCCAGGCCAGCAGCATGGATCCAGGTCAGAAGTGGAGCCACAGCGCGATAGCATAGCAAATAAAGTCCTCGCTTTGTTTTAAATAAAATGTTCAAAAGTAAAAATCAGCTCCCACTCCCCAGTTTATTTAGTCTGTTTTTTTCATAGCTGTCTTCTCTGCCCTGAACAGCTACAAATGCAGAACAACGTTGTAGCTCTTGTCTTACCCTGTAGGACTTCATTATTTTGGATGCAGTTAATGTAGGAAGCAATTTGGGGGTAGCCAACGTCTACTTGAGAAGAACAAAAGGTGCGTTATAAACACCCTGAAGGACACAGCACGATAGCTCAACTGACATTCTCTATGGGCGCTGGTTCATGTCCCAGATGCTCTACTTCCCATCCAGCTCCCTGCCTGTGACCTGAGAGCAGAGAAATGCCCAAAGCCCTGGAACCCTGCACCCATGTGGGCAACCCAGAACAAGTTCCTGACTCTTGATTTCAGACCGGCTCAGCTCTAGCTGTTTTCAGTTATTTGTGGAGTGAACCAGTGGATTGAAGATCTTTCTCTCTGTATCTTTCTGTCTGTAAATCTGCCTTTCCAATATATATATATATTTTTAAATTAAAAAAAAAAAAGTCCTTGCTTTGAATGCGCCAGAATCCCATATGACCTTGGTTCTAATCCTGACAGCCCTACATCCCATCCAGCTCCCTGCTTGTGGTCTGGGAAGGCAGTCAAGGGCCACCCAAAGCCTTGGGACCCTACACCCATGTGGGAGATCTGCAAGAAGCTCCTGGTTCCCATCTTCGGACTGGCTCAGTTCGGGTTACTGCAGCCACTTGGGGGGTGAGCCATCGAAGGGGGGATCTTCCTCTCTGTCTCCCTCCCTGTCTGTAAATCTGCCTTTCCAATAAAAATAAAATTAAAAAGAAGTGGAGTCACAGCGACTCAAACTGGTGTCCAAGGACTTTATGAAGTCGTTTTTTATATGTGCAGGTAACTCACAATTAGCCTTTCATCTTCTCCAGTTTCTCGCAAGTTAACAATAATTGTGCTTGCAACAACACTTTCCAACACATTTCCTCCGATTATTCTGTCCATTCCTGGTCTAGCATCACATAACGTTGCCTTGCTCAGTGCAGGAAGAAGCCTGATACCTCTGAGTCCCAAATATGAATTCCCAATCCAGAGTTTTTATAGTTGTCCAAATACAAATTTAGCAAATGTTATTGATTCTAGAAGATATAAATTACCCATTTCCTAACAAATAGCAATTGGATTAAAGAATTCTTTCCTCATTCACTAATTTTTATTTTGCTTCTTCATTTTTCAGCTTTCTTACAAGGCTAACCTTGTGTTTCTTTTTGTTTTTTGGTTCAAGGTTTATATTGTGCCTTAAAATAATGACTTTTTAAATGTTTATTTGAAAGGCAGAGTATCATTACAGAGTTTTGCTTTTCTTTTTTTTGTGAATTGTAAAGGCAAATATACCTAGAGAAGGAGATACAGAGAAGAAAGAGCTTCTGAACGCTGGCTCACTTCCCAAGTAGCCACAATGGTTGGAGCTGAGTGGATCCTAAGCCAGGAGCCAGGAGCCAAGACCTTCTTCTGGGTCTCCTACATGGGTACAGGGTCCCAAGGACTTGGGCCATCCTCGACTGCTTTTCTAGGTCACAAGCAGGAGCAGGATGGGAAGCAGAATAGCCGGGATGTGAACAAGGCCCATACGGAATCCTGGAGCATGCAAAGTGAGGATTTAGCCACTAGACTATCACACCAGGCTTAATACTGACTTCTTTGAAGATTTATTTACTTATGTGAAAGGCAGAGTTACACAGAGAGAGGGAGAGATTGAGAGAGAGAGATCTTCCACCTGCTGGTTTACTCCACAAATGGCTGCAACAATGCCAGGAGCCAGGCAATTCTTCTGGGTCTCCCTCATAGGCATAGGGCCCCAGCACCTGGCTTTCCCAGCACCTCTGTTGCTTTCCTAGGTGCTCAAGCAGGAACTGGAAGTAGTGCATCTGGGTCATGAACCAGCTCCATATGGATGCTGGTGCTATACACCGAGGCTTTATTCACTATGTTATAATGTTTCCCACTGCAAAACAATCACTTTTAACATGCATTCCTCCTTGTAACTTACGTAGTGTCCATAGTGCACCATGGTCTCTCATCCTAAATCATCACCATCAATCTATTCCAGAAAGTCATACCCACCTATAATGGCTGATCCTAGCACAAACTTCACCACATAATCAAACCAAACTGGTTTTGTTACTCTGGGCATGTTAAATAACAAGAGGCTCTCATTTCCACATGTCTGGACGGAGAGCTTATTTTCTCTTTTCAAATCATAGCCTCAACTTGAATCTTCCTCTACTGCTCTTACATGTTTAATGACAGAAATCTAACCTAGCTTCTCATGACTGTGTTCCTGGGTTTAGGAGGCATGAGATTCTTAAATATTTACCTACACTTTACTGAGCATTACCACAGAGTTCAAGAGCTTCTTAAAACAGCCTGTGACCAAAGAAAGAGGTTATAAGGTACATAACCACTGTTAGTCTCTAATATGATAACAACGACCTCAAAGTCCAGGGCATTCCAAGTAAAAGTGACTTACTTTGTGCACCGTACTTGGCGTTTTTGGACACCTTCCTTTGGGCTTCCGGGTCTCCTTCTGCCATATTCACCAGCCACATCATCGTTGCTGTTGAGAAAGACACAAAATCTCTGCTAAATACTGGAATCATAGAAGGAAAGTGCATGACCAGACAAGAGGTCTCTCCCTCTCTCTCAATCCTAAGTCACCACTCTGTCCAAGGTTACCTTAACAGTTCCAGTCCTTAATGACCAGAATCACATATTAAAAAACCATAAAAGACACTCTGTGATTTCAACAGATAAAAGATTCTGTCATTCTGAAACTGCGGGTGCTATCACAATACTGCTCACCATCATTTATCATCCCAGGAAACTAGCAAGACTCCCTGAAACAAGGGTTAGGGTGGCTCAATACCCTAAAAAATCATGGAGACTCACTGACAAGTATTACTTATTGGGATTTAAAGACAAAGGGCAGAGCTCACAAGCACCTCAACTGACAGATGGAGTTATAAAGATGCATGGAATAAATTCGCTTCATGTTATCTCCTTGACATTTTCAATAATGTTGATATGTTCTTCATATACACAGTAAGAAGGTTAAAAGCAATAAATACAAAGGGGATAACAATGTGGCCTCTTCCACATCCCTTTTACAAAAATATATTCTAGTGTATTCTAAAAAATTCACAGAAAATAAAATAAGAATTTATTTGGTAAAAACAAAACGTGAAAAATTATCATTTGAAAGACAGAAAAGACATCAAGAAAGTGGAGCAGTCAGTACCTGAATAAGCACTCCTACACAGGTTGTCAGAGTCAAAAGAGGAAATTAATCTGCTGTGCACAATGTCAGTGCCCTTCTTTTTAACACCCACTGTATGAATGCACAACAACCATCTCAAAGCTCTTCCTTTTAATGGACACTGAGGTTAACACTGCAAGTACGGCTTCAGTGAACATCCTGACTCTGTATACTCTTTAGTCTAAATTCTGAGCCTTGGGGCCTGCACATGGTTCAACAGGCTAATCTTACACCTCCATGCCCCAGGATCCCACATGGATGCTGGTTCATGTCCTAGCTGCTCTGCTTCCCATCCAGTTCCCTGCTTGTGGCCTGGGAAAGCAGTTGAGGGGGACCCAAGGCCCTAGGATCCTGGACCTGTGTGGGAGAGCCAGATCAGCTCAGCTCAGCTGGCAGCCACTTACGGAGTGAACCAGCAGGAAGAAGATCTTTTCTTTCTTTTCTTCTGTGAACCTACCTTTCAAAAAAAAAAATCTTTCAAAAAAATCATAATACTGCAAATTGAAAAATATTGGCTCTCCCAATTATCTATATTTTTCTGCTCCAACAGAGTGAGAAAGTGAAGAAACACCCTATTTGAAGCACTGGCACTACAGCATAGCAAGCAAAGTTGCTACCAGCAGCACCAGCATTCTGATGGGCACCCATTGATGAATCAACTAAACTGTTCTACTTCAGATCCAGTTCCTTGCTAATGCATTAGGAAAAGCAGAGGAAGACAGACCAAGTGCCTGGGTAGCAGTACACACATGAGAGACCCAAATGAAGCTCCTGGCTCCTCATCAGTCCAGTTTCAGCTTCTGTAACCTTTGGGGAATAAACCAGCAAATGGAAGAACATTCTCACTCCTATTCTTCTCCCCTTCCCAATTCTTTCAGAATAAAAAAAAAAATCACTGTAACTAATTAAAGACTACCCTTCCTTAAAAAAAAACTTTTATTGGACAGACACATTGATAGACATTTACAAACAGAAGGAAAGACAAAGATGAAGCTGAGCTGAACTGAAGCCAGAAGCCAGAACCCCCTCCCCCATCCCAAAGTCTCCCATGCGGGTACAGGATCCCAAGGTTTTGGACCATCCACTGTTGCTTTTTCAGGCCATTAGCAGGAAGCTGGATGGAAGTAGAGCAGCCAGTACACAAACCAGCACCATATGGGATTCTGATGCTTGCAAGAAAAGGATGAGCCTGTTGGGCCTTTGCTCCAGGCCTTAGAGTCTCTTAGAGACTTGTCTTCTACTCTTGCATGTGAGTGACTCATCCACTCTCAGGGCTAAACAGTCACTTCTAACTCTGTACCTCTAATACCAGCTATTCCCCAGGCACTAGTACTATCTAAACTGCAGCTAGAAATGTCTGTCTGAATCTATCGCTTAAACTAGACATGGACATAGACATATACAAAACTAAATGTGTCTCAAACAAGGAAAAAAAATCTCATTTTCCTTCAGCCCTAAAATTTCTCACTTGCTTGTTAGGAGAGAACTCTCATCAAGCTCTTCCCTTGACTGCCATTGCCAGCCCATCATTCAGACTCAGACTCACATTATTTTCCACCCAAAGCAAGGCATCATGCCTTTGTTGTTGGTCTCGTAAGCTTTTTTTTTTTTTTTACTTAACATTACTCTCATTGCCTCAGTGCCTGTCCTCCTCATCTTAGACAATGTTGTCACAGCTCTCATCACACTGTTCTTCTGCTTAAGAATCTTCTATGATATCCCAGTGATTATCAAACAGGACAGAGACATCTAAACCAGTCACTCAAAGGTATCACTGATCTTGCCCTCATATGCTTTTCCAAACTCACTATCTAATAGTTTGCGATCAAACTGAACACTTGACAACAATGTCCCACACTTCTTGCCTCGTACTCCTCCTTCAAGAGGCTACTTCTCAATCAAGTCTACCATGTGTCCTTGTTGAAACCATCCATCTTGAACAAGGCTGACTCAAAGGCTGTCTCTTTCACGAAGTCGTTTTTATTTCTCCAGGCAGGTTTTCCCACTCCTGAGCTCCTGCTACACTTTGTCTCTTCCGAACTGGTGACATCTGCTGGGCACACTGCTTGCTTACACACTTACCTTACCCCATGTCACAAGCTCAAAGCAAATGAGTTCTGAGAAAGTAATTTAATTATCCTTGTGTTCTCTACAATGCACTCTGGCAACAGATTAGTCCAATACTCAACTGCATTTATGAATATTTATGCATTTATGAAGACTATGAGTTTGAATCAAAAAGAGGCAACTGCTTTCTAAAGGAATAGTATAACTCATTCAATAAGCTAAGGCCAGATTCACCTATACTGGATGTGTTTATATACTGCTTCATACTTCTTGACTAAAAAATTCTAAATATAAAAATAATGGCTCCCCAATCGCTAAATATTTCCTTCATATCCAACCATAGTGAAAATGCTTTTGAATCATTGGCAGATAAAAGATATCAATAAAATATTTTAAAAAGTTCAATTAACGCTATGCATTTAAGATGAGAAGAAGTATCAAGACAGTGACCATAATTATGTGTGTCTGAGTCCCCATAAATTTTAAGCCAGCATGACACAGAACTACTTACATGAGTAAATGAGAGCTGGAAAGAGAGTTTCATTTCTCTCCTGAGCTGTTTCAACCAGCATGCGTAGTGGACCTTTTGGACACAAAACAGCCACTAAATCTGAAAAGAACAGAAACAGAAGGTGCTAAGTAAAAGGGACTGGATTAAGTTTATTAAAGGGTAGTAGAGAGGAATTAATCAAAGAAAAGGTTTAATGTTTTATTCAATTTTTTTTTTTTTTTTACACAAACTGATGTTGAATGAAGATCAAATAAACGGCAAGTAAACTGCTGAGATGAGGAAGAGCTTCAAACTAGGACTGAGCTGCTACTGGCTGGATGTACAGCATATGTCATCACTGGGCTCCAGGACTTCTCAGTGTGACAGAAACAGGCAGAGAAAATAACAAGACAGAACTACTGTAAAACACCTGTCAGCCTTCAAGGAGCTGAAAATGGTAACAAGTTCTTTCTAAACAAATCATGTCTGTAAGTTACAAATGAGGTTACTCTAGAAGGTATTTAACAAGGACTAACTGAACCTTCCAAATTAAGAACAAGTTAGATGAGATTCCTCCCTTCTCTTTCTAAAAAAAAAAAAAACAGGACATGTATTACTTAGTGACATTTGAAATAAGAAGGCAGCGATTAAAATGAAACAAAATAATAACTCAAGTATGTGCTAGAGTTGAGTAATTCCTTAGGATCCTGCCAAATAAAAGTATTTCTCAAATATTCAGGTCTCACAGCACATGTGGTATTGAGAAGTGGCTCACCTTAGGACAGTAACTGGGAGAAGAAGCAAAATGCCGAAACCATCCTGATCCTAGCACCATAGCCTTCCACAGTCAAATACAGGCAATACTTTCGGCCATTTGAAAATATAAAACTGATACAGTTAAATAAGAAGAAAGACTTGTTAGCTTGAGCTGACATTACTATCATTTAGAAGCACTGAAGGGAAAAAAAGCCTATGTCTCCAAGTGGTCGAATCTCCTTGTTAGTACTAACAAAAACAACAAAAATAAGGAAACAATATAGTAAACAAACAGAGGCAAGGGAATCTCAACTCTCACCACTTCTTCAGTCTGTCTGAGTAAGAAAAGGGCAATTTCTTTATCTTTGAAAGAATGAGATCTTTAACTTGTTTGATGCTACCCAATCCTGTAACTATTTTGGTTTTAAGTCATACTTGCCCTGGTAGGATGGTTAAGTGATAAACACGCTTGTTTCTACAGGTTAAAGTTAATGAAGCTTAATTTTATTTTGGAACTTTCCAAAAAGTATTTATGACAAATGAAGACACCTAAAGACCTTACAGAAAGGGAGTTGAGAATCGCTGTGCTACATGTTGGATACAGAGTTTTCCTTTACTTTCTTGGAATTCAAAGCCATGATGAGATCATCATTTCTGTTAGGTGCGGAAGTAGAGGGTTGGCAGAACAAAGGGAAGAGAATATCGGATGTGGAAGTTAGATTTCCAACCAAAGAGTAAGAGCTTACTAATATAACATTAATGAATGCCTGGCTTATTTTACAGCATTTACTAAGAGACACTGTTCGAAACATCATGTGTGTAATTAAGGGCTGAGTAGCTTGTCTGTTATCTCAATTACCATCTTAGCAACTAGGCCAAAGATCCAGCCATGCCCACGACGTTTTCCTTTTAAATGAATAATCTTTTCAAAATGCTTTATAAAAATATGAAGTCTGATTGCTAAAATGAACTGAGTTTCAACCCTGAAGTGTATTTCACAATTTACGAATGAAATTAAAGCTGAAATAGCCTGTGGCTGATGCAGGGAGACATGGCAGAATCTGAATCTCAGTCTTCAGTCTGACAGTGTCTCCAACCAATGCATTGCTGGGTTCAACTGGGAGCAATAATAAAACACTTTCAAAGAACCTAATCTCAAAAATTTTGAAATATTCATATGAAGCAGATATTGTACCTAATTATTGCTCGAAGAGCTATAAAACAGGAGTCTGACCATTTTCCCAAAGTAAAGATTATTAGAAGAGATGGAAACCACACCACAAGACATTTCTTATAGTGAGTGAAACGTCAGGCTTGGGTTTTACCGTATACTGAGATCACAGCCAGAATGAGCCAGGCGGTCCACTCAGGGAGGTACTTGATGAACACCAGAGCCATGAGGGCACTGATCATGATGAGATACGCCTGCTGGAGCCGGAGTGGGCCTTTCCAGTGAATGCAAATCATGCCCACCACACCGAAATTCCAGATCAACAGTGCAACAGTAATGTAGTCCACAGCAACATTATAGGTTTTAAACACTTCCCTGAAAAAAAAAATTAGGGATTTTAAAAGATTTGCCGGCAAGATTTTTCGACAGAACATTGTGTTCAGAGTGGACCTCTAGCCTAGTATTAGATCAGATACCTGGGTGTGATGCCAGGCCCTGGCTCCTGACTCCACCTTCCTGCTGATGCAGACCCTGGCAGGCAGTGGTGATGGTTCAAGGACTGGATTCCTATCACCCGTGAGAGACCTGGGTTAAGTTCCTCACTTCTGGCTTAGCACACTGCAGGCCCTGGGGAAGTGAACCAGTACATGGAAGCTCTTCTATATTGGTCTGCCTCAAAGAATAAATAAACATAAAAAATAAAGTAATCCCTTATTGTTGAGAATGGTAGTTCCCAAACATTAATTATATCCCATTATCCCATATTTTTGCTAATCTTACATTAATAGTCTTTTAAAATATTTTTCTGTATTAATTGTGTAGGTATGTATATAAATTTTTTTTCCTTACTTGAATTTTTTTTTTAACTTATTTCAGAGGCAGAGAGAGACAGAGGCAGCAAGCTTCCATTCATTGGTTCATTCCCTAAATGCTCACAATACCTGGGGCTGGAAAAGGCCAAGGGAGCCAGGAATTCAAACCAGTCTTTCCATGTAAGTGGCAGGAACCACTTGAGCCATTCCTTCCATCCTGCAGAGTGCACACTAGCAGGAATCTGGAATCAGGAACCAAAAGAGAACATGGAAGTCCTGACATCAGGGATCCAGACTGGCAGCAGGTATCTGACCTATGAGGTTCAAGGCCCACAACTGCACTGTTTACTAAGCATTTTTCTTTAATTCACTTTTTCCTTAAATTGACACAGTTTTAACAGGAAAGTCTATTATTCAGATAAATAGGAGCAATATAGACTTAAAACTAAAAATACATTAAAAATGAAAATAAATTTGTAGGTATGTGACTTTATCATTATAGCTGAAAATATATGGAAGTTTAAAAACATAAACATGCATCAATAAATTTTAAGCAGCCCATACACAATAATTTTTATTTCTTCTTAAAATTTGAATTATTTACTCAAATACCGAAAACTGCCAGGGCTGGACCAGGCTGAAGCCAAGGCTTCAGGCTGAAACTCAATCTGGGTGTCCCATGCAGGCAGTGAGTCAGGATATGGGCGGCCTTCCAGCGTGCCCATTAACAGGAAGCTAGTACTGGCTGTGAGGCCAAAACTAGAACTCTCTTTGACACAGAAGGAGCACAGGTGTTTCCAGATACTTTAGTCACTTCAACAAACACTGGACCAGAGATTATTATTTTCATACAAAAAAATTCAGTGAAGCATTAGAAGTATATAAATGTATTTTTAAAGAATTTTTTTTTTCCAGTAAGAACTTGAGCTTATTTATTTAATATCCTTCAAACGAAGCAGAAATGAACCAGTGACATACACATGCTGTTTCCCCTTCTTTACCCAATTGAGGCACCATGTCATGGGCTATGGTCTGCTTTTCCAGCTGTCCTCACTAATGGTTTTGCCTTGGACTGGGAATAAATGTTTTTTTTTTTTTTCTCCTGAAAGGCAGTATTAGAGAGAGGGAGACACAGAAAGACCGTTCATCAGCTGGATAATAGCTCAGAAGGTCTCAATGGCCAGGGATGAGAGGGACTGAACCTAGGGACCCAATTCTTGCAGCTAGGAGCCTCCCACACAGGTGCAGGGTCCCAAAGTTCCAGGCTGCCCTTGACTGCTTTCCCAGACCACAAGCAGGGAGCTGGATGGGAAGCGGGGCTGCCAGGATTAGAAGCAGTGCCATATGGGATCCCAGAACATGCAAGGTAAGGACTTTAGCCACAAGGCTATCACACCAGGCCTTTGAATGTCTTTCTAAAATGAATGTTGTTCGATTTTTTTTTTTTTAAGATTCATTTTAAAAACAAGTCTTTTTAAAGATATACAGAGAAGGCCCGGCACGGTAGTCTAGCGGCCCCACTTCCCATTCAGCTTCCTACTTGTGGTCTGGGAAGGCAGAAAGGACAGCCCAAAGCCTTGGGACCCTGCACCCGCATGGGACACCCAGAGGAAGCTCCTGTCTCCTGGCTTCAGACTGGCACAGCACCAGCCATCATGGTCACTTGGGGAGTGAATCATCGGATGGAAGATCTTCCTGTCTGTCTCTCCTCCTCTGTATATCTGACTTTGCAATAAAAATAAAATAAATCTTTTAAAAAGTGTGTGTGGGTTACTGATTCTCAACAAGGTACATGACTTTAAGGACAGTAGTAGCTGAAATACTGTCGATTTTTGAAAAGATCAATTTTCAAACAAATTTTACTTACCCCAAATAAATGAATGAAAAAAAGAACAGCAATAATAAAGATGAAACAATAAGCCAGCCGTGGATAACCTAGAAAAGAACGTATTTCAACATAATTAACAGAATTCAAAAACACTTTCAAAAATGTAAGCTTCTTACTTCAAAAATATTCTACTTGTAAATATTCTGCTTTTCAAATGCCAGGACACAAACAGGATCAGAGCAAACTTATACGTATTTCTTTGGTGCTAGAACATCTCCAAAGCAAAACTTCTCTATGATACCTACAGATCCTGAAAAATAGGTGACGAAATTTTTAAGAACAATACCTCTGAAAACAGCAAAATTTCCAATAGAATCAATAGGTGATATTTAAATTCTATAGTGGTATTATTTCCAATGTAAGAGTTTTGCAGTCCCAGCCACTTGGCTTCTGGTCCAGTACCCTCGCAATGTGCCTGGGAAGGTAGAAGAAGATAACCAGCACTGGGGATCCTGCATGGGACACCTGGAAGGCGACCCAGGCTCCTGGATTAGGCCTGGCCCAGTTCCATCACTGCAGCCATTGGAGAGTAAACTAGCAGATGGAAGGTCTCTTTCTGTGTCTCCCTTTCTATCTCCATCACTCGCCTTTTAAATAAATAGACCTTCAAAAGAGAAAGGATATGCATTATTTTAGAAAAGAAACAAAAAAAGAAGTGCATGGATTTCCAGTTTTTCCACCAAAATAAAATGATGTTTCAATTCTAATTTCCGTGAGCTTTTGGAAGTCCACTTATTTATTGTTGTTGTTAAGATTTATATATTTGAAAGAGATTTTACAAAGAGGAGATTCATAGAGAGGTTTTCTATATGCTGATGCACGTTCCAAATGGCTACAACAGCCAGAGCTGAGTTAATCCAAAGACAGGAGCCAGGAACTTGCTTGGGCTTTCCCACATAGGTGCAGGCTCCCAAGGACTTGGGCCATCCTTTGCTGCTTTCAACATAATTATTTCAATGGACTGGAAGTGGAGCAGCCAGGACAAACGAGCAGCATGTGCAATGCTGCTGCCATGGGGCGGGGATCAACTTGCTGTGCCAGGGCACCGACCCCGCAAAGTCACGGGTACACACTCACACACCTGCACATGCATGTGTGTAAGCACACACCCCTCTACTGATTTACCTGCCATATATTTTCCTACTAAATCACTTTATGTCACGATTTTCTGAATTATCACATGAACTTTAAGCCTCTTTGGATGACTTAAACAGTACCCCCTCCTCTGAACATTAAGCAGTAAGATAGGCCCCTCCCCCCGTTTTTAAAGATTTATTTATTTTTTTATACAAAGTTAGATATACAGAGAGGAGGAGAGACAGAGAGGAAGATCCTCCGTCCGATGATTCACTCCTCGAGTGACTGCAATGGCCGATGCTATGTCGATCTTCAGCTGGGAACCAGGAACCTCTTCCGGGTCTCCCACTTGGGTGCAGGGTCCCAAAACTTTAGGCTGTCCTCGACTGCTTTCCCAGGCCACAAGCAGGGAGCTGGAAGGGAAGTGGAGCTGCCGGGATTAGAACTGGTGCCCATATGGGATCCCGGCGCATTTAAGGCAAGGACTTTAGCCGCTAGGCCATGCCGCTAGGCCCCAGATAGGCCCTTTTTCATAAAGCAAACTTAAAGCTCAAGTTTTTGTGCTGAGGTTTCTGAAAGACCAATGTCAGAGTATACAATAGTGACCACTTTCCCCAAACTCTGAACTATTGAAACCAGACTTCAGAATGTCTTAGTTCCATCTAGAAAAGTGATGTGCACTAATTGTCTTTTTAAAGCTTCTACCTTTTTAAAGTTTTTTTTAAAGCTTCTGTGCTTCTAATAGACACTGCACAATCACCACTAATATAAGAAATTCTCAAGGTTTATCTTCAGACAGGTTCTAGCAGGTTTCTGAATTTCTGACTCTAGTCTCTCCAACTCTCTGCATATCTGCTTTTCCAATAAAAATAAATAAATATTAAAAAAAAATTCAGGGGCCCGGCAACGTGGCTTAACATCTAAAGCCCTCATCTCAAACGTGCCAGGATCCCATATGGTCGCCAGTTCTAATGCCGGCAGCTCCACTTCCCATCCAGCTCCCTGCTTGTGGCCTGGGAAGCAGTCAAGGATGGCCCAAAGCTTTGGGACCCTGCACCAGTGTGGGTGACCTGGAAGCTCCTGGCTCCCGGCTTCAGATCGGTGCCAGCACTGACCGTTGGGGTTACTTGGGGAGTGAATCATCGGACAGATCTATCTCACTGTCTCTGTCCTCCTCTGTGTATATCTGACTTTCCATGAAAATAAATGAATCTTTAAGAAAAAAATTCAGTGCTGACAAAGACAGTGTTAAGTGCGAATTGATAACAGTCTTTTGGAAAATAAAAAATGTTCATACCAAGAATTAAAAACAGGAAGATAATTTGCTCCAGAAATTTTATGTCTAGGATTTTACCACAAGGAAAAAATCTGAAAAACAGGTCTGTGCATGCAGACATCATTATTTTTGTAACAGTCAAAAATTATAAAAATGCTGTGTACAAGACACTAAGGGAAGTAATTAAGTAATATACAGTTAGATTTGTGTAATGAAACAAAGATTTGCAAAAACTTCGCAATATAGGGCCCGGCGCGGTGGCGCAAGTGGTTAAGTCCTCGCCTTGCACGCCCGGGATCCCATATGGGCGCCGGTTCTAATCCCGGCAGCCCCGCTTCCCTTCCAGCTCCCTGCCTGTGGCCTGGGAAAGCAGTGGAGGACGGCCCAAAGCTTTGGGAACCTGCACCCACGTGGGAGACCCGGAAGAGGCTCCTGGCTTCGGATCGGCATAGTATCGGCCCGTTGCGCTCACTTGGGGAGTGAATCATCGGACGGAAGATCTTCCTCTCTGTCTCTCCTCTCTGTATATCCGCCTTTCCAATAAAAAAATAATAAAAATAAATCTTTAAAAAAAAAAAAAAAAAACTTCGCAATATAAAAAAATGCTTATGGTCTGTGCATGCAGACATCATTATTTCTGTAACAGTCAAAAATTAGAAAAATGCTGTGTACTAGGCACTAAAAGAAGTAATTAGTAACATGCAGTTAGATTCGTGTAATGAAACAAAGATTTGCAAAAACTTTGCAACATAAAAAAATGCTTATGCATAAGTTAAAGAAGGGACATAAAATGAGTGCACTGTTAACCATATTTTTAAAACTTTATACAGAAAAATGCCAGAAGGAAGATGACTCCAGTACTAGGAAATCTAATGTTGATACTTTCCATTATTTGCAAAGAACCTAAACAGACATTAATAATTTCATTTATTTGAGGACTGAGTCTAATGCCATGTGTCAGGTGCTCACATCCAGCAATGAGTCTCTGAGAAGAGTGTGAGCTGAGGAGAGCGGAGAGGAAGACAGGCCTCCATTTCTTCGCAGCACAACGTCCCTGCCCCTCGTCTGGTGTTCGCTGCACATTTTGAGGGAGCAGTGGCACGGTCCACATTTTGAGTCCAGCAGCCAGGCACGGTCAGTCCTTAATGAGCTGAACACTAACACTTGCAGGTGGTTTTACTGTAACATACTGAAATGTAAAAATCTGAATTCCTCAGTTTTATCCCATTTTATGAGGATTGTTAATCCTAGAGTTCCACATGTTGGAAGATTCACACAGATATTAGGGTATATCCCTTCAAAATATTTTAAATGTGTTGTCAATCAAAATATTAAAAGAAAAACTCAGATCATGGCATTACATGACAGCATTAATTATCTATTTATGCCTTTTAAAGTACTCCACAGCCTAGGCCCCCTGGCTTCTGCTGTGGTGGTCACTAAACAGCATCAGGGGGCCTGGGAACTTAGGCTGGGGGCCAGCAGAGAGAAGTGGGCCTGGAACATTAACGCCTGTGTGGGTGTCAGGTGGGCACAGAGTTGGGGGGTGCTAGCGCCCCAGAGCAGCAGGCTGGTGTGATATGCTTGTGGACTGCATACATGGACATGCTTGAGTCCGGGTTAGGTGGAGGGGCAGCATTCCAGGCTAGCACAGGGGTAGGTGCACAGAGTTCTAGGCCAGCATGCCACGTTACTAAAAGACCAGGTTGGGGAACGCATTACTAATGGGCACAGGGGTTGTGAATGGCTGAGGGAAGTGGGTATGGGATGTGGGAGAGGGGAGACAGTTGAGGGAGTATACTGCAAGGAAGGAATGACCTCCAGGGGACTTCTGTTGACAAGGCCACTGTACTTGCAGGTAAGCAAGGGGGCTGAGGCCAAGTGGTTTGGCTGAACCACCTTTCTGGGTCAGAACAATTCACCTATCCATGTGGGAGACCTCAGCTGGGCTAGTTAGCATCAACCACCATCAACCACCACCCACTGGCACACACTATGGTTAGGGCAGGGGGCCAACCCGGCAAGGCTAGATCACAATACCCACCAGGGAGTGTTTGAACAGGAGACAGGTAATATTAGTTCTCTGCCACCATAATGTGTAGGTCAAGTCTAGGGGTGGGCCAGGCCAAGCTAGTTCATAACACCCAATGGCAGATCTGAGAACCAGGACAACAGAACAGGGTGCAAGGCAGACAGGGTTAGACCACAACACCCATCAGATCACATTAGGCCTGGACTGGGGGCTGACTGGGCTGGGCTGGGATAGGCTGCAGCACCAGCCAGAGAACACCAAGATGGAATGGGCCATGCCAGACTGGGCTGCAGCACCCACCAGCACACAGAAGACCCAGGGAGGGTGGGGACTAGTCAGGTAGGTGGCAGTAAGGACTTCCTGATGGACCACTGCTCCCACTGGTGAAAACTGGGACCGTCAGCCGACCAGGATAGGCACGGCTATAACACAAGTTGGCTGCCTGTGAGCTGGGTTAGGAAGAGAGCCAGGCAGAGCTAACCAACTGTATCAACTGGTACATGAATGAGCCAGAGTAAATGCAGAATAGTTGGGTTTTGCCGCAGCATCAACTGGAAAATGCTGGAAATGAGGACAAGACTAATCAAACTTGCACCTGGAAAGTGCAAGATTTGGAGCTCAGAGCAGGCTTAGTAGAGAAACTATGGGTAGCTCTCTGATGGACTGCAGTTCCCACCAGTGAGCATGACAACAGGGTTAGGGGCAGGTCTGGTAGGATGGTGGTATCCACCAGCCTAAGTGTGGGCTGCATAGTGGAATAAGTTCAGCTGAGCTAGGCTGAAGAATTCACTGGTGAGTACAAAAGCCAAATGGAGGGCCAGCACAACAGCATAGTGGTTAAGGTCCTTGCCTTGAACGTGCCAGGATCCCATATGGGCGCTGGTTCTAATCCCGGCAGCTCCACTTCCCTTCCAGCTCCCTGCTTGTGGCCTGGGAAAGCAGTCGAGAACAGCCTAGAGCATTGGGACCCTGCACCCATGTGGGAGACCGGGAGGAGGTTCCTGGTTCCCAGCTTAAGATTGGCGCAGCACTGGCCATTGCAGTCACTTGAGGAGTGAATCATCGGACGGAGGATCTTCCTCTCTGTCTCTCCTCCTCTGTACATCTGCCTTTCCAATAAAATAAATAAATCTTAAAAAAAAAATACTAAATAGGAAAATTCAACATAAAAAGAACAAGGTGGAAAATAAAGCTCCATGTTTCAGGCTCACCTTATAGCACCTGTATTTGTACAGAACAACCAGGAGGATAGTCATGATGACAATGACACTGATCATGATGGCGGCATTCAGAATCGAGTGTAGGGCTCTCTGGCCCACCGTCTCGGTGTCCTCTGTGAATGGGGTATAGATCCTAGAAAACAATACACAAAAGCCCTAGGTAAATTATTAATTGATTTTACCTATCTTACCAACCTAGCTGAGTCTTACCCTAAGAAAAATATCCATATTCTGAAATTGCTGCTTCAAAATGAAAGGAAGTATCTACTTGTAACCACACACTAGCTCCATCTAGTGTTGCTTTCCACTGAAATAAAAACTGCATTGCAAGTTCTTCCCTCATGGTCTGTTGAATAATCAGATTATGATGGTTCCTATTGGAGACCATTATGATCAGTGAAATGAGCCAATCCCAAAGGACAAATGTCATACGTTAATTCTCATATAAGACAACCTTTATTCAAAACAGAAAGCAAAAAAGACATAAGGTAAACAATCACACATTTGTAATCTCACAAATGTAGGAAGGAATCAGGAATCAAAGAAAATCAACAGACAACTCCCCAAGACACTACTGCATGCAAATTTGCATTGGTTATTTACTCTCACTTAGTAGCTTTCATTTTTGCCAAGTTATTTTCTAATATACTTCATCCTGGAGATAAAGTATCTTCACAGGCCTTACAGTAAAGAGAAACCATGTGTTAAATGAGATTAACATAAATACACACAAACACACATACACATATATATGCAAATATCAGAAACGGATGAAGAACAGGTGCTATAAAAGAACAGAAAGGACCTAATTCTATTAGGAAATCAGGGAAGTTACCTTTACATTTAGAGCTAACACTTTATCTGAAGATGGGAAGGAAGACAGGAATTTAATCCATCAAACGCAGAAAAGGAAATACCATTCCCGGCACAATAACGATGGATCCACTGGCCTGCTCTGCTCTGAAACATGCAGCCATACCCAAAGACACAGACTGAAACGGGACGCTGTAGTGTTCCATGCCTCTCCTTAGAGCGTCTCAGTGCCAGTCCCTGGCCCTCTCACCTGCTTCGGGCCATCACAGAGGATGCAGTCTCTAGCCTTTAAACCCCTTCAGGCCAGAGGCCTTCAAGGCGAGATGAAACACATACTATCAAGAAAAGTCACACTGCCCTTGAGAATAAATGAAACAAAACCCTCTTACGTACAGCTGCCCATCTTTTCGTGTGTAAAAGCTGACTGATTTGATAGTAGCCACAACCACCACCATGCAGAGGGTCACAGGGACAAAGAGCATGATGACATGTTTGGCGCCATATTTCAGTGTCAGCTCCTCATCTTCTTCCTCGTCTTGCTCCACCACCTGCCGCGAGCTGCCCTGGGGTCGGCCATTGGATAAAGGCTCTGGGTTACCCACTCTGCTCCTGTCACTGTGCTCTGGCCGTTCTCTGTTTTCATTCTAAAAGCACAAGAAATATGTCATCAATAAACCTGAATCTTAGAAGAATGTTAAGAAAACAAAACAAAAAATGTAACTGTTACTCTTCTGGGATGAACAACAGGTTAGTCATTACTTGGGTTCTTCAAACCTGAGGCAGAGCCACCTGAACCCAGATCATCTGCCAGGGCTTCCTGAAGACACTCAGCCTGCTTCTTACCTGGGCTTTGCCTTAACTCAGCCTCTGCTGCCATTCGCAACTTAGGACAACAGTACTCAAAATACAGACAACCGCACAAATTTCAATGTTGCAGAGTGACCTAGCCTTTTCCAAATTCATGCAGCTTCATACTAGTTAAACTTCACTATTAATATTTTAAAGTCCTTGCAATGATGTTCAAGGGATTGAATTATTTCTCACAATAGCATGCACAGGTACAATGTCTCAAATATTATACAAATAAAAAATCCTGGGGCCAGTGCTCTGCCTTAGTAGGCTAAGCCTCCACCTGTATTAGCAGCATCCCATATGTGCACCGGTTCATGTCCCAGCTGCTCCACTTTGGATCCAATTCCCTGCTTACATCCTGAGAAAGCAGTGGACAATGACTTCATCCTTTGGGCAATTGCACCTATGTGGGACACCCGGAAGAGGGTCAGCTCCGGCCACTGTGAGCATTTGGAAGACCTGTCTCTCCTTTTCTCTCTAACTCTGGCATGGCAGAGGACATAACAAATCAATCATCTACCCCAGCCAAGTGTTGGCAGTGAAAATCTGGGCAAACAGAGACTCTAAAGTGGACTACGTCAAACGGTGGATTCTGCAGCAATTTCATCATACTTGGAATGGCGACATGGGCAGCAATTTAGAACTGTTGAACCATCAAACCCACCGCAGCAGTGCCTTCGGAGCATGCCCCACATCAAGGAGCCAGGGATGAATAGGAGGCTGGATGGGACGTCTCCCTTTATCTCCCCCTTATCCCAGATACAGGAAAAAGGCAAGGGTCTTACCCATCTTCCTGTAGCCCTTAATGCTTTGTGCCCTAATCAACTATGTAAAGATTATCAAAATAGAGATAACCCAGGCCTTATTCTGATGGCACACACCCCACCTACCACTCTCATTCTGTGATCACTGATGAAATTAGAACCCTCCCTTTCTTAGGGTCCACTTTCCTCAGACCCTTAACCCTGATCCCACTTTGTAGCTTTGTGCTCATCCTCTTTATCTATCCTGCAAGTTAAACTTAATTTTTGGGATCACTGTTCAAAGTATCTTACAAAGGACAGAATGAGTAACAATAATAATAATGTAACAGGGAAAAAGGTACTTTTCTCAAAGACAAGTAAACAGAGTTAAGAGATGAAAGTTCACTGATAGGGCCCAGCGTGCTGGCCTAATGAGTAAAGTCCTTGCCTTATATCTCCTGGGATCCCATACCGGCGCTGGTTCATGCCTGGGCTGCTCTACTTCCTTTCCAGCTCCTTGCTGGTGGCCTGGGAAAGCAGTTGAGGACAGCCCAAAGCCTTGGGATCCTGCATCCATTTAGAAACACCCATGAGGGAAGAAGCTTCTGGTTCCTGACTTTGGATCAGTTCAGATCCGGCCTTTGCAGCCACTTGGGGAGTGAACCAGCAGACAGATCTTTGTCTCTGTCTTTCCTTCTCTCTGTAAATCTGCCTTTCCAATTTAAAAAATACATAAATCTTTTTAAAAATACACTAATAAGACACTAATAAAATGATTAAGCAAAGGCAAGTCTTTGGAAGATCCCTGGAAAATAAGTCACATTTTTACCTCTATCACTCTTCATTAACTATACAGTTACCTTGCCAGTGCTTTGCACTGACTTCTCTTTCACTCCATCACCACCACCTGAGGACTGAGGAATCAAACAGCTGCCACGTGCTACAGAGTGCCTCCAGAAATGTAATTCTTAAGGATTTTTTAATTTGTCATTCGCGAACAGGGGAGCTCTTTTATTTCACTTTCAACATACTCATGTAGCACTTCCCTTGGCCCAAGCTATAATTCCATATTCCAGCTGCTCTGCTAAGGTAACAGTGAAGCTCCTTACAAAGTCCTTTTAAAAATCCCCAATTGAACTTTAGGAACAGGCTGTAAAGAACTTTGTTTGCCCTGCCAAGGACTTTAAACTTTATCCTGTAGGTAGGCAATAGAAAGTCATAAAAATCGTTAAGGTTGAGGAAATAACACATCAGAATATATTCTACTTAGAATAAACTTGAGAGAGCAGCAAGTAAAAAAAAAAAAAAAAAAAACACAAGGAGATATAAAAGAAAGATATGTAAGAAGTTGAATTCTGGGGCTTTGTTGCAAATTACAAGCAAACAGTCAGTAAGGACTCAAGGAGTAACTCCTCAGCTTTCCAGCAAAAAGGACGATGAGGCAATCAGAAGCTCACTGCAAGGAAGAAGCAGTTATTAGGGATGCTGTCTGGGTGGAGTTCAAGCACCTGCACCCAGGCAGGAAAGTCCAAAGCAGTTAACAATAAGGAATTTCAAATTCAGGAAAGAGCCATGGGCAACCATCTACAACTGCTGCCACCAGTTTTCCCTGAAACTTCAGGAAGTCTAGTTAGAAAACAGAACAGTGTGGAGTTATCAATCACTAGGCTAACACCAACAACTGAGGAAGACAATGAAGGACAGAAGTATGAACCACCCACAAGTGTAAGCACTGGGTGATGGGAACAACCCAGCACAAGAGATGAAAAGAGGAAAGGAACTAAGCAATCAGTATAGCACAGAAGCCACAGAACCACACAATAAAAGAGGTGTCATCAGCATTCACACAGCACCGGATTGGACCAAGGGAAGTTTAACAAGGTCTTTTACAGAATTAAAGGAGCAAAAAGGGAAATCAAATCGTAAGTCACAGTGCAATGGGAAAGAATGAAAAGTGAGAAAGTTAAGGCAATCAACCTCTGAAGGAAAAAAAAAAAAAACAGGAAGGGATTTAAACTTGAAAAAGTTATTTTAGAGCAATCAGGAGACATGAGTATCCTTATTAGCTAAAGTAAAAAAGCTAAAATTTTGAGCAGAGACTGAACTGGCACATGGGGGATAGACAACTAAGGGAACAGGGCAGGTAAAAGCAGAAGGAAGAGTGGCGGAGCCGCCATGAGGCACTGGCGCCCTCCTGTCAGCTTGAAAGCAGAAAGCAACACTGACCTCCAACAGACAGAAGTGTCTAGGAAAACTCACACCCTATGAGAAGGGCACATTACTCCAAAGCATAAAAGGCAAAAAATAGACATATTATCTATCAGAAAGGTCATTTCTGCTAACTGTAAGTCACTGGAGTGGCCCAAGCCCAGAAGGATGGAAAAGGCAAAGTCTTAGAGGACAAGGACAGAGAGTGACAATAAAAGAACAGAGAGAATTCATCAATTTTCCCAGAGAAGGTGGAGACTGAGCCATCTAGGAATGTTACTTCCAGGGTCCTGCGCAATAGCCTGTCACTGAAGTCCTTGCCTTGCATCCCCTGGGATCCCATATGGGCACTATCTGTATCCCGGCTACTCCACTTCCCATCCAGCTCCCTGCAGGTGACCTGGGAAAGAAGTGGAGGACGGCCCAAAGCCTTGGGACTCTGCATGTGGGAGACCAGGAAGAAGGTCCTGGCCTCTACCCGTTGCAGCTATTTGGGAAATGAACAAGAGGATGGAATATCTTCCTTTCTCTCCTTCTCTCTATAAATTTGATCTGCCTTTCCAATACAAATAAATCTCTAAAAAAAATGTTACATCAGTGATTGCTGCTCAGTAACCTTACCAACTTGGCAGATTAGTGTCAATCTGAGTATCAGTGATAGCTGCGTTAAAATAATTGCTAAATTCGAAACCACTGTCACATTTTCTCATTCTGTTTACATCTTGGGCAGTTGTGAAGCATGAAGACACAAACAGCCCAAAACAGTCGGGGTAGGAATCAAACCTCCTTCCCTGACTCTGAAAGCGAGTTCTCTCTATGGCATCACAGTCATCCTCTCAGGGCATACGAAGGCTGAAGTGGGTGCGTCTGGTATGAAGCCCATACTGGATGTTCCGGTTTATAACTAACATTAACCAACTCCACCCTGCCCTACCCAAAGCTGATAATGCAACATTACCGAACACTGACAGGCTCTCCCTCTCACCCTCCCCCCTCCCACTGTCCGCTCTCTCTGTCTCTCACACACACCCTTCCTCTAACATTTTTTTTAATAACTTTTTAAAAAATTTACCTATTTTTATTACAAAGTCAAATTTACACATAGAATGAGATAGATCATCTGCCCATTGGTTTGCTCCCCAAGTGGCTACAACAGTGGAACTGAGCCAAACTGAAGCTAGGAGCTAGGAGCTTCCTCTGGGTCTCTACACAAGTGCAGGGTCCCAAGGCTTTGGGCCGTCCTCAGCTGCTTTCCCAGGCCACAAGCAGGGAGCTGGATGGCAGCTGGAATACAAACCAGCACCAATATGGGATTAAAAATCTATAATTTTTTTTAACTGCAAAATTGAAATAGGTAACACATTCACAAGGTTGTAAAGTTAAAAAACTATAAAAAGGTGTATATATATATATATATATATATACATATATATATAAAGTTTCAACTCTCTATTTTGTTTCCTAATGCCTCAATTGATTACTGTTAATGTTCCACCAATTCTCTCAAAGTTTTATATGACGAGGCAGATTAGGTGGAAGCCAGGATTGGGGCAGAGAGGAGGAGACAGAGAGGAAGATCTTGTCCGCTGATTCACTCAAGTAGCTGCAACAAGTAGCCAGAGCTATGCAGATCCAAAGTCAGGAGCCAGGAACTTCTTCTGGGTCTTCCGCGCAGATGCAGGGGCCCAAGGCTTTGGGTCGTGCTCGACTGCTTTCCCAGGCCACAAGCAGGATGGGAAGCAAGGCCACTGGGATTAGAACTGGTGTCCATATGGGACCCTGGCACGTGAAAGGTGAGGACTTTAGCCTCTCGGCCACCGCACCGGGCCCTCAAACCTTCC